ATGGCACTGCCGCTTCCATCCCCGTGCAGGAGCCCCATCATCATTTATTATTCAATACGAGCAGCAGCGGCGGAGGCAGCTCCAGCAGTGCCAAGCATGACCTTCGATGAAGGTGATCGTGAAGGTGGTGATGGTAATAGGCGATGTGGATGGGTATCTAGTGACAAACGTGATGATGATGTTGATGAAGGTGGTGAAGGTAATGGTGCAACAATCATAATATTTATACTGGATGAATCTGATATGCTATAAAGAGGTGGTGATTAGCGAGCCTGGTAATAATGGCTTGTGATCGTGGTGGTCGTGATGGAGGTAGTGATTACATTGAAGGAGGTGAAGATTATTGCGACCGTGATCATGGCGACGGTGATGTAATGGTGTTTAATGTTGTGGTGATAGTGGTAATGGTGAATGTTGTGGTGAAAGTATTGATGCTGATGTGGTGACGTTGCAGTGAGAGCTGGTGGAGGCAAGTCTGGACGCCAGTACCCACCGGGGGATGCATCTCACCACTGGTGGCTTTTAAATGCTTTTTAATAATAAAATTAAACAATACAGCATGGCAGCGAGGACGGGGAATAAGTGGTGAGTTGCGTAGCTGGCTTCTATCCGGTAACCCAAGCTCCTTAATTCATATTTTAGATTCCATGTGCTCATGAAAGCAACAATCAATGAACTCTATTTAAAAGCACATGAGAGCCCATTGGGACAAAAAAACAAAGGGATGTAATGGTTTATCTATTAAAATCGATTCCTACGCCCATGATACTTGCATCAATTAATGCATGATATTATATTGCTTTACACGAAAGCCAAGAGAGATTATACATGCACCACAACGACAAAAAATAAAATTTGTGTTTAAGATATGGCATGGCATCAAACGGCAACCAAGATGAGTAATTACCATCCCTACTCCATTGCAGGGGAGAGCTGTGATAATATACAGGATCCAAACAAAGAAACACCAAAAAGTATCTATTCATAATAAAAAGATATTGTGATGAAATGTATCATTTATGTGGGAACATACACTTTAGCACACTATGTGCCATCATCAGGTTCCCCCCCTGTGCATTGCGTAATGATGTTAAACAGTCCTGGCACGTTCACCGACTCCTCAGTGTGCAGAGCGATCACGGTCACGTTGAAACACTGGCACCTAAGCATACCACTCCCTCGCTTAACGAGTAATTAACTAGTTACCCTACTCATTTCTTATCCTACACATCTTATTCAGTACCTACCTTACCCACTACCTAGCCGAACTAGTACCTAAATAACTTACACACCTATTACTAGTGCTTGTCCAACCTATTATATCTAGTACTTACCTACCAGAACTAGTACCTACCCTATCTATTGTCAATCCTACCTAACCTATGTAAAAAAAAAGTACTTTCCATAATTATTACCTACCTTCTCCAACACCTACCCTCCCCAATACTGACTCAACTCGCATCATGGCTATTGTCAACAAAGCAGGATATGGTATCTGAAGGGACAATATCTGAAGCATTAGCCTACTTTGTCTCTTGTATAAGACAGTGTTAACGATTACCAAAGCGACTGGTTTTTTGTGAGTGCAGTCCTATCTACATTCTGTGAACGTGCATGATACCTAGCCTGCTAAGAGCACTCAAACGAACCCAAGGAACGACTTTGGGTTCGCAAAGCACTTGTCTAAATTGTCTAAATATTCAAGTCTAAACGCCAAGGCTTAATTGAATCAGTCTCTCTGGGTCAGCAATACAGAAAAAATGTCCACATCCAACACACTACATCCAGTATATCTCTCGCGATGGCTGTGACTACCTCCAGTGGCTGATGCTGCTAGTTCCATCTCCCAATTGTGGAAATTGAAACAATGGGCACGTTTCTTATATCCATCCCCTGCCTCTGTGCACCCAGCAGTATAATTGTGCAGGTGGCGGGCAGAGGGATAAAGTGTGGGTACTCCCACCATCAGTTTGAAAAAGTAGGCCAAAATACCGTCTAGGAGTTCTCTTGAGATCAATGCAGTGAAGGTCCTTCTGCCAGGAGTGGCACAAGCACCACCGTTATTACCTTTCGCACAATCCATTGTGTTGTTGTCTCTGTGTGTGCACGTCTGTCCTGCAGTCTACCAGCAATCCATAAAAATATTCAGTGAGAAATGAAAACTCTGCTAAACACAACATGCAGGGCGTCTGCACCACAAACCACAGCGGCTTGACACTGGCGATGAGCCAGCAGAGCAATACCCTAAGAGCAATGCACTAATATAATAGTGGGGTGGGAAGGACGCAGCTCAAGGAAGCGGCACAGCGATATTCCTGGAATGAGACTCATTAGAGTTGGCAGAAGCTCATGCTCAGCGACAGCTCCACATGTCACCAAGGGCTTGGGCTTGGCGTATCTATCTCCTGCTTCGACGGCGGCTGGCATTTGCTTGACACGTGCAGCAGCACAGGAGGGTGCATGAAGTGGGGTGCAGTAGTGCACAAATACAAAGAACTGCCATCTTGCCTGAACAGACTGTTATGGTAAGTGCTATTAGCGAGTAGCACCTATGAAGGCTGGAATGCCACACGAGGGGGTAGGTGGTCAGCACACACCCGTGCACACATACACCTACTTTGTACATGTACGGTCCGTCTTAAATTCACCGCTGGATGAGGGCCTCCCAATTCTGTACATAATAATCAGAGGCATTATTTGCTCATGCTGCACCATGCTGGTTAATTCAGGGATCATAGATATCAGAACAGAAGTATAGTACAACAACCTATTTTGCTCCTCTGCTATCCACAAAGTAGGCCAAGGCCACATACATACTAAAACAAATATACACCCATCTTTTACAGGATATGTGCTGTTAGCAAGCACCTGCCTGGATCGACAAGACAACGTGATGTTGTGTTATGTATAGCTAACACATTAGCCACCTTTGCCCCAGTGTTGATGTTCACACTCATTTAAGGCTAAGTTGACCGAGGGGAGGATCAGGCCAGTCTCAGATACCACTTGCTTCTGATGTTATCCATGGGTGAGTATTGAACCCATGATAGAAGGGGTCCATAGAACTTCAGCGTCACTGCTTCACTTTGCTAAGAAATGTTGTACTAATTAAGAAAAAACATGATCGCAATGCATGGGTGCCGACCATTCAGAAAAAAAAACCACTCATGTGACCCATCTGGGTTGCGAGTGAGCTGGAGCCACACACGTCGAGACACTGAGAGACACACGAAGGCACGCACTGAAGTACATACATACATACACACATACGAGGCACATGTGGTGGTTAACGTTACAGCAGGCGTTGAGCTCCACATTTGGTTTTCGAATTGCAGGTGACATATCAATGAGCAGACGCAACGTGCAATCCCCCACAGTGGGCGCTGTTGGGTCATCGCCAGACGTACCGTCCTGCAGGTTGCAATAATTTATTGGCTGGAAAACCTGGAATGGTTCTCGCTGTCTGCCTGACGTGGAGCCATAGCATGTTCCCGACAAAGACACTGACATAGTGACACAGAAAGACAAAGCTCCTCCGTGTAGGTGAAGTGGACGTTTGGGGGTAAATGCTGGTAGCGAGGACATTCAAGCCGACCTAACGCACGAGGTGTGGTGTGACCAATTCCATGCCCCGACGCATGGATGTTTCCAAACCATGCCAGGCATATACTGTATTTATTGACGTCCACAGAATGACATGCTGAGATACAAAAAACAACCGTCGTTCGCCACGAATTGGTGGTAACGTCACCGCCGCTTGCCCGTCCCAGGCTAGGTGCACTTTGAGGCCATACACACACACACAATCACAGACAATGCAGAAAGGATGGGTGCTGACCCGTTCAGAAAAGAAACATCCATGTGACCCGAGAGTGACATACACCCATGCACACTACATAATTGCCTTTGCAGGACACGAAAAACGAACGCACACATACTGACACGGCCCAAACGAAGACAAAGATCCCTCTTATAGCCTTTCAAAGACTGTTGGGGCTGTTAGCGAATACCCATTAAGGCCGGCACGGCACACGAGGGGGTGGGTGGCCAACACCACGCCCGACCGCCTTTGTCTCCCCACTGCTGATGTTTACACATACCAGGTTCTCGTTTAAGGCTTCGTCGACCTTGGGAATTGAACTCGGGTCGTCGGATCCGTAGTGCTAACCACTGCACTACCTCTCCCCACAGGGATATTGACATACACCAAAATAGCTACACAATGCTACTCCAACACACACTGGCATATACACATTGGCACACACCAACAAACTGTTGACACACACCAACATACACACTGACATACATATTGACACACCCAAACCCTTACCGACATACAAACACAATGCAATAATATTGACCCACACAAATATTCCCCGTACACTGTATAGAGAGCACCTACATCATACGCTTTTCTGCACCCATAAACGTTACACGCAATGACATCCCCTAAATAAACACTGACATACACAGCAAAGGCCGCAGTGTCAACCCCCTCAACCCCCGATACTCCTCGTCCCCATCACCCCATCAGTCTGCGAGGGGCGCCTCACCACACTCCCCGAACCCTCGATTCCCACCAAGATAGCGAGCCCACCTCACTGGACGCCCATCATTTCCCTGGGTCCATCTGGGGTTACCTGCTCCCATTCTGGGAGACTCTGGCAGACTGGGCCACCACCCTCCCATCTCCTCCCGGAGGACCCTGGGTCTCCCGTCCCTTCCCGGACGCTGCCCCTCCAGGTCCCCGCTGCCCTCCAGGTCCCCGCTACCCCTCCAGGTCCCCGCTGCCCCTCCATGTCCCCGCTGCCCCTCCAGGTCCCCGCTGCCCCTCCATGTCCCCGCTGCCCCTCCATGTCCCGCTGCCCCTTCAGGTCCCCGCTACCCCTCCATGTCCGCTACACCTCCAGGTCCCCGCTGCCCCCCGCTGCCCTCCAGGTCCCCGCTACCCCTCCATGTCCCCGCTGCCCCTCCATGTCCCCGCTGCCCTCCAGTCCCCGCTACCCCTCCATGTCCCCGCTGCCCCTCCAGGTCCCCGCTGCCCCTCCAGGTCCCCCTGCCCCTCCAGTCCCGCTGCCCCTCCAGGTCCCCGCTGCCCCTCCATGTCCCCGCTGCCCCTCCATGTCCCGCTGCCCCTCCAGGTCCCCGCTGCCCCTCCATGTCCCCGCTGCCCTCCATGTCCCCGCTGCCCCTCCAGGTCCCCGCTGCCCTCCAGGTCCCGCTGCCCCTCCAGTGTCCCCCGCTGCCCCTCCATGTCCCCGCTGCCCCTCCAGGTCCCCGCTGCCCCTCCAGTCCCCGCTGCCCTCCAGGTCCCGCTGCCCCTCCATGTCCCGCTGCCCCTCCAGGTCCCCGCTACCCCTCCATGTCCCCGCTGCCCCTCCATGTCCCCGCTGCCCCTCCATGTCCCCGCTGCCCCTCCAGGTCCCCGCTGCCCCTCCATGTCCCCGCTGCCCCTCCATGTCCCGCTGCCCCTCCATGTCCCCGCTGCCCCTCCAGGTCCCCGCTGCCCCTCCATGTCCCCGCTGCCCCTCCATGTCCCCGCTGCCCCTCCAGTCCCCGCTGCCCCTCCATGTCCCCGCTGCCCTCCAGGTCCCCGCTACCCCTCCATGTCCCCGCTGCCCCTCCAGGTCCCCGCTGCCCCTCCATGTCCCGCTGCCCCTCCAGGTCCCCGCTACCCTCCCAGGTCCCCGCTGCCCCTCCATGTCCCCGCTGCCCCTCCATGTCCCCGCTGCCCCTCCATGTCCCCCGCTGCCCCTCCATGTCCCGCTCCCCTCCATGTCCCCGCTACCCCTCCATGTCCCCCTCGTCCCGCTACCCCTCCATGTCCCCGCTACCCCTCCATGTCCCCGCTACCCCTAGCGCCCCTCCAGGTCCCCGCTACCCCTCCATGTCCCCGCTACCTCCTCCGCTACCTCCGTCCCCGCTGCCCTCCATGTCCCCGCTACCCGTGGGGTCCCGGGAGTCGCACCTGGAGACGCGGAGGAAGGGAGCCGCCTCTGGGTCCAGGTCGCGACGCAGCCAGAGCGCTGGAGAACGATGGGCGGTGACGTCACCTCGTAAAACACAGGCCCGTGACGTCTCCGCGCAAGGGCGGGGCGTAAAGACGCCGGGCCCCGCCCCTCGATTGCGTCATTTGTACAGCGGCCCGGGCACGCGACGCGGAGGCCGAATGGATCGCGTGACGTCATCGCGTTAAACGACGTGATGACGTCATTTACTGCGGCTTCGTCTTCCGTCACACCGCGCGTGACGCCACCGCGCTACCGGTCGGGTGACGTCACGACGCGATCCCCCACAATAGCAAAAGGGGGAGATTTTACGGCCGTCGCTATTGGACAGTATTAAACGAGCGTTAATGTGCAACGCGAAACGCGTATTTTGTTGTTTAGTGTCAGTTAATGTGCATGCACGCTACACTTGGTGCAGAGGGCGGCGATTACCGTGGCAGCGCGAGGATTGGTCGGTCGCCCCCCCCCCACCCGTCCCGTCGTGGCGCTTGCGCGAGTCCGAGCAGCGCGGAGCAAGGAGAGACCAAACCCGGGTCCTGCGGGTGCCACCACCGCCGCCGCCACAAACAACAACAATGACCCCGTCGTCCTCCCCGCTTAGTTGACCTCGCACCCCCCCGTGACCAAGCCCCGCCCACTGCCCCCGTCGGCCAGCCAATCAGTCTCGTGAACACGCCCCCCCCCCACTGTTGCCATGACCCCTCGCGACCACAACACAGCTGTTTAAAAAATAAGTGCTTGTCATGTTGTTGTTGTTGCAATTAGGACGTTATATTCTTGGTTCTTTCGGTAAAGTCACGTAGAAGGGAAATAATAAAATAATACAAATATAAAAATCTATTTTATTTTTATAATTAAAAAAATAAAACATCTATTTATTTTTTATAATAAAAATAAAAATTGTATTTGTATTCTATTTATTATTTCCCTTCTACGTGACTTTACCGAAAGAACCAAGAAAGATTTAACCAAATAGTTATTTTTATCGGAAACCAAACTTTATTTGTCAACTCCTTCAGAATGGCTACATGCCACAGCCCCTCCCCAAACAATCAGTTGTTTAACAAACGACGTCAAACATGTAAAAAAAATTGGTTTAAAGCTTTCGTGACTGCAGGGATTCATCTTCTTGTTTCTTTCGGTAAAGTCACGTAGAAGGGAAGTAATAAAAATAATAAAAATAAAACATAATAAAACAATTCTCACGACGTTTCGGCTACAACGCAAGCAGCCGTCTTCAGGTGAAGACGGCTGCTTGCGTTGTAGCCGAAACGTCGTGAGAATTGTTTATTATGTTTTATTTTTATTATTTTATTACTTCCCTTCTACGTGACTTTACCGAAAGAAACAAGAAGATAAAAAAAATTGGTTTTTCTTTCTGGCAATAAAACAGGTGGTTAAGATTTTGATGTAAAGCTTTCGTGACTGCAGGGATTAATATTATTGGTTCTTTCGGTAAAGTCACGTAGAAGGGAAAGAATAAAATAATACAATTCACACCTGATGATGATTGCTTGTATTGCAGTCGAAACGTCGTGAGAATTTTTATTGTTTTATATTTTTATTATTTTATTCTTTCCCTTCTACGTGACTTTACCGAAAGAACCAAGAATATGAATCCCTGCAGTCACAAAGCTTTAAATCAAAATTAGGACTTTATTTAGTCTACACATGTAGGCTTTCGCAACCAATATTATCCACAATAGAGTTTTTAGGGTTAGAACCCTATAAATATAAACATGTAAATGTGTTGTTAAACCCGCCACCACCCTTGAGTGAATTAAATATAAATAAAGTATTATCCAAAAACTTCTATTATGGATAAGACTTTATTTGTATTGAATAAACTTAAGGCATTCGTCAGTGACACTGCCTTACAAAATATATAATAGGCGACGTTTTCGGGAAATTAAAGGGGCATACGCTGTGAAGGGTGATTGCCCAAAACGTCGCATGTAAAGCAGTGTTTTTGTTTTGTTAATTCTACACAACTGGCAATGCAGCATCACCAAATAATGTCCTGCTAAGTCTTCGTAGTAGGATGCGATGCTGCTGTGTGTAATCCCATTGGAGTAATTAGCTATCTCAGTGAACACGCAACGTTTTCCCAACGTTCTCCATGCAGACAGCCCCGTAGGGTCAAGGGGCAAGTTGTATGTGCAACGTGTGGCTAAGCAACATTGGTTAATTCAACTTCATATAACATACATGCTGATTTCTATAACCCCTCTCTCTCCACCCCTGCCCCCCTCTCTCAAGCTTTTTACACATTGCCACTCACCATTTCCACTCATGGACATGCTAATTTCTCTAACCCCTCCCTCTCTCCCCGCCCCCCCCCCCTTTCTCTATTTAAAGCAAAAAAAATTCCCTTATACGTGACTTTACGGAAAGAACCAAGAATAAGAAGTGTACTTGTAAACATCAGATTCTTTATTTGGACTCGAGGAATCCGATGAGCTATGAAACTCTTTTTAAAAGACATCCAGTATGGACAGGGCCGGATTAAGGCACGGGGGCTTTAGGGGCAGCAAGCCCAGAGGCCTCTGCCAGCTGGATGGCCTCCAAATATTAATTGAAAAGTTATTTCATTTGTGAATGCTGAATTTAATTTGTTAGCCTTGTCAATTTTTTTTCTTAATAGCTCATCGGGATTCTGCCTGCGTTAGCAGTGAACTTTCCGTGTCCGTAAAAACTCCAGAATATAGGTTTTTTTGGGTTAGATCACGTAAATGTCGTTTAAACCCGCCACCACCAATTAGTAAGTTTTGTCACTTAGACAGCAACACTGGTGTGTTGGAGAGAAAAGCCACAACATTTACATCTTATTCTTGGTTCTTTCGGTAAAGTCACGTAAAAAGGAAACAATAAAATAAAAAATTTTTTAAATAAAATTCTCACGCAAGAAAAAAAAAATCTTGCTCGCTATACTGTTAATCGTCTCGCGCACATCCATTTCCCAGTGCAGGGGCTCAGCTCAGGCAGCAATTAAGTGGCTTGATTGCCGGTGATTCAACTGGAAGGGGATACAATTAGCGCACTCGAATTTGTATCAGAAGCGTGTAGCTTTACGTTTAACATCTTCAATCCGTGTGATAGGCCGCGTCGTCGAGTCTAGCCGTCCGACAATTAAGCTCCCGAGAAACGGAAAATAGTGTGGTCGGGGCAAAGGTATCTGTCTGGGATGGGAGCGGAGCGAACGATCGACCGTATGAGTCAGGAAGCTGCTCGGTATGTCACTAAATTAGTGTGGAACGTGCTTCAGCATAAGCGTTATCTCACGCATGAGTCGCGCAGTGTACGAGCACTATGGCGCGGACTGGGACTTAACTAGATGGTTATAACCAACAACGACCGGGTGCAGGTAAGTGTACATCTCGCCATCCGCCTCGCATCCCATACAACCGTTCTTCAATCCTACCGTCGGGGCGCTCGGATCATTGCTCGTCTAAGTACTTTCCACTCTGGCCGCATTCCTGTCCTGTCGGTTGTAACGTCATGTTCCTCCTACGACCCTCGCACAATCAATACATCTACTTTCTATTTCCACAGTACTTGTCATGAGATGACATTGTAGGCGGTCCTCTCAGTCCCGCGCAAAAACTCGTGTACTCTTCCCTGTATTCCTTTTCCGACGACCGAGTACTCGCCAGCAGCTTAATGATTTCCATCTGCTTTTGGTACACCTAGCTAGCCTGTGTCTGGTCATTATGGAGTTGCGGGGGCAGGGAAGCTGTACAAATACATCTCCGCCCATTATGTTTACGACCGTGGGGGGACCCCTTTTGGATCCTCGACGTATTGAATGAGCCGGAGAATTCTTGAGTTGATTGGAACTTTCCAATGAATTTACACCGTAAGATAATCTTAATGAATTAGGTCACCGGCTACAATCACTGCGTCACCAGATATCCGTTTATGACTGAACGCCAATTGTATTATTGGCGCTTTTCGTATGGTGGACCATCCCACAAGACCTCGAGCATCAACTAGCGAGGTCCACCGAATCATTCTTGAAAGTGGTACGGGGAGAACGTAGGTTCTACTGGCTTAGCAGTCATTATTTTGAGTTCACAAATAGATGTTATGTTCGAATCTTAGACCTGTTGTGCACGGCCCAGAATACCATGGTGTACATCTATTACGCCGTCTTTAGAAACTACGAGTGATCCGACGAGCACTGGAACTTGCAGCTCCTGGTTACCAGCCAATCAGGTAACCCTTGATGCGTTCGACATTTCAGTCATCCTTTGTCTAGTGTGAGTCACATCAGGTCACTCTATGCAGCGAAGTATAAATCGGGGCAACACAATCCACGAAGAAAGAGTCGGCCTCCATAAGATATGGAGAGTGTTCGCCACTCAGGGGTTTCATGACATAAACCGAAGTGGTGCGCGGGCCAGAGGACTGGTCACGGCAATTTTTAAGCCATAAAAGCCGCAGGGCCATCTTCACCTCTTTAGGGCCCGGTCCGGGCCTGCCGGCAAATGCCGTCCGGGAAGAACGGGGCTACGAGTCCTAGATAA